ATTACCAGAGCTTTTAATTTTTTGTTTGCTTGTTTGTTTTGCATTGGTTTGCTTTGTTTTGTGTTTTGAGAGAGGCATTCGCTATGTCACTAAGTTGCCAGGCTGGGTTTAGGACTTGTGATCTTTCTGCCTCATCCTCCCAGAATGCTAGGAACACAGGCATCACCCACCATGACCAGCACTACTGAGTTTCTTAAAAGAAAGGGTAGCATTCCTGCACACCACCTGTCACTCACTCCCTCACATCTGTGCTTACACAGACTGTTAGTGCTGACTGTGTGCAAGGTGACAAGGCTCATCTGAAACGCTGACATGACCCAAGAGACTCAGTACAGCTCTCTCAGACCCTCTAGGTCTCCTCTCTTTTTCTGGAGATCCCTGGTCATTAGGACTCTATCTCACTTCACTTCCAGTTGTGACAGGATATCATATGTCTGGAAAATGTCCAGAGTTCCCAGGTACCTATCACTGCATGCATAGGTGTGTAAATACATATATGCACAGGCACATAGACATCCGAGTGTAGACACTCACTGAGGTGTTCCAGGTTTGTATTCCTCTTGCGATTCAACCTAAAACAGTAAGCAGAGGTCACATGTCATCTGTTTTTATCAAGGTACACTTGAAGATTAGCTTGTGTACAGGATACATTAAGCATGGGGTGTGATAATGTTTCTCCCTTGCCATGCTGTGGGAACATGGAAGGAAGAGACTATGTTTCTTCAGTCTCCTTTATTTCCATAGTAGATACTGTTTGGCGACCTGGATTTCCTGCTGCAGAAGGGGAAAGATAATCACTCATGCCTACCTCTGCCTCCCAGGAGGAGCAAGGAGAGCATGCACGCATGTGTCATTTCTGCTTCATTAAGGACCACAGCGTAACAGTAATGAAAAGGCTTCATCCATCATGCCTGCAAGTTATCATAGGAATGGTACATATTATATTATGTCTGAAGAATTCTAAAATCAGATATAAATGACAAAGAAATGATTAGAGTTATATTGATTAAAATCGCCAGTTTAAAAATGTGTTTTTTAAAGACTCCCTCTTGCCGCTGGAGCCATCACAGCTTCAAGGCTTCCCTTGCAATTTTTCCTTCCAAATAATCCCAGTATAATAGCATGGTCCAAAACACACCCTGCTACATCTGATTGTGCATTGTCAAGTCAAGGGCCTTTGCTATGCTGAAGAAAATGCAGACTCCTGGCAACTTTTCACCCCTGCAGACCTTCATCATATCTTCCCTGTGCCCAGTGTCCTGTGGCCAATTCTGGATGCTGGAGGCTTCCCTGTGCTGAGGAGTCTGCAGTGCATCTTCTGCTCATTAGAAGAGCTGGAGAGCCACTAGGATTCAGGGCTGTCAGCCTAGGCTCAGTAACCAGTGTGCTAGGCGTGCTCCCTGCAGACAAGAATAATGCAATGCTCTCCCCTCCACTTCACGGAGAATGGTCACAAAGGAGCCGTGCTCCCGCCTCCATGAAGGGCAATTTCTCTGCATTGTATTCTTGCTTTGTTAGATCCAAGCTGCCTGTGCAAACAAGCAGAAACCTGTTTTGTTTTATTTCTGCACAGGGAATGCTGCTGCTCCTCTAAACAATAGAACCTTCCAGGTAGATGGAGCCTGGATGTGTTTTGCAGAAACAATGCAAAACAGAAGCAAACTGGGTAAATCAGCAGGTCCTTTTGTCTTCTTCTTGCCAAACGATTGGTTCAACTCTTTTTTCCCACTGCCTTGATGGGAGGGAGCGAGGTTTTCTTTCTGATGATTCATGTTCAAGAGTTGACTCAGAACGAAAGCTTCATGTCCAAGCCACCTACTGTCCCTTTCCTCTTTCACATCTGATAAAATCTATGAATCTTGTTATTCTGCTCAGCTCCTGCTTCTTCCACCATGGAGCTGTCTTGTTCCCCAAACTACAATTATTTAGTCTCTTTTTACCTCTGATGGTCTTGTCGATTCTCTAACAGAGCTTTGTTTTATTGTGCCTCTGTAATAAATGTTATACATGTGTTTCTCCTCAATGGTATCAGCCATGCCATTTATATACAGTTGATGACCAGGAATTGTTTATTTTTTCAAAACAATTTTTATCAGCCCACATTTGTGGTACATGACAATCTCATTTACCTCGGGGAGCTGGTGTGTGTACATAACACATCTTGATTCTTTTTTCAGTATTTCCTCATGTCTCCCTCCGTCTCCAGGTACTCTTCCCCCTTTGGAAAGGATCTAACTCCCTATGTTCCATTATCAGTCTTTTATTTTGTGCATTAATTTGTTTCCACGCCAAGTATTTATTGCATTGATTTGTCCCATACTACATGGTTGTGAAATTCAAAAAAGTTCCTTGGCTCACTTATGCGGAAGCAGCTCTCCTGTGCCTTGCCTGATGTTTTCAGTCAATTCTTTGGCATGGTCCATGGGCGATGGTCAGTGAGACCACGGGTGCTGTGCCTCCATTTGTCCAGCACTGAGAGCCTGGAAGGAAGAAAAGTCAGGCAAGACTGGCTTCTCTTGTGTGACACTCTGCTGCTGGGCCATGCAGAGGCCTGAAGACCCTGCTTGCCATTGGCTCCCAGGCCAAAGACACTGCGATAGTGGATGCAGTTTTGTCAGCAGAGAATCACTGACTTTTTGCGGGTTGCTTGTGGGAAAGGAGAAAGCACATGCGATGGCCATGAGCAACCCTCTGATGCCCACAGGGGCAGCTGAGGAGCACCACCTGCAACGGGTTAGATGAGGAATGCCTGGCAGTCGTTGCCTGCTGAGTCTAGGATGCATGGACTCTTCCTTTCACACACTTCCCTCTCTGTGTGTGTTTGTTTTGTCCTGAGATAGTTTTTCACTATGCAGTTCAGGCTGATCTTGAGTTCACTATGTAGCTGAGGCAGGCCTTGAATTCCCAATGATCCTCCTGTCTCAGCCTCCCAAATTCTGGGCTTACAGTGGTGCGCCACCACACCCAGCAACCCTTCCCTCTCTGCACCTCGCACTACCAGAGTCAGTCTCAAGGTGCTTATCTGGCTTTGTGTAATAAATAATCTCTTCCCTCCATGCCTTCCTCTGCCTCCATAGTAACAGCATTTTTCCAAGGCAGAAACAAACACGGGATTCTGGTTGTTTCCATAAGACTCTGTGAGCTCCTGGTAGCCTGGTGGACTAAGGCCAAACTCCCTAGAGGGATGCAAGAGGCCAGCCACACTCTAGCCAGTAGGTACCTGGGTTCTGAACTTCAGCTTCCGGACCAGGCTGCCTACCTGACCATCCTCATGCACGCACGCATGCATTCCCTCTGCCTCAGCACTCCTGGAATACTCTGCCCTGCTCTCTTCCTTAGAAAGGCATTCGGAAAGGAGGCTGAAGAATTGGACTACAGCAGGAGAGTGGGAATGGGAAGAAGAAATGACTGGAGCAATGTTTTAGAATCAAAATGCTTAGAATTCATAGTTAACGATGTTACCCAAAAAGGCAAGAAAAGCACAGAAGTTTCAAAAGTTTCACAAGTTTGAAAGACTGGAGAGACAGAATTGTCTGGTGGACCCAAGAAACCCAAGACAAGTAACGGAGCAGTCTTTCATCCATTCACTACATTGCTCGGCAAGCTGCAGTGCAGATCTCAGAAGTGCTGCAGGATTCTTGCTCAGCTCAGCAGGCGAGACCTCAGAGAGAGACTGCGGTCTTCCTTAGCCTCTGCTACTGTTACTTTCAGCAGAAAGCACAGAGCCCTGGGATTCCGCCTCTTAGAACTGGGTGCAAGGCCCATCTGTGCAGTCAATCACAGAGCAGATGCTGGTGGGAGGACCAGGAAGTGTGTGGCCACAATCTCGGATAATAATAAATATTTAAATGTGTATTTGTTCTCCGTAATGGATTTAGAAGCTGAGGATGAACACACTTTAAAAGTCACTCACAACAATAACAAGAAAGCTGCATACCAAGTGCGGATGGCATACGCACTTGGGTTCATTCTGAATGCAAGAACTGAGGGCATTCAGCCTTGAGGAAATCTCGCTCACATGGTCCCTCTTTCTAGCATCCTTGGATCCTTCCTTTGGCTGGGAGGTGGCCTGGAGGGTTTGGCATCCGGGTTCCCAGTCTCAGCCACAAACCAAGACTGGTCTTGCAGGATCCAAGTTTATTCTGCTGTGGACCAGAAAGCAGAAATCCAGAGGAAGGGAAAGTGTGCTGTCTTTGCAGAGAGTGCACACTTGACCCCGCCTCCTGCACTCTTGCAAATGACTATACCGAGGCAGAACAAGAGGAAAAGGAGGAGAGAAAGGAAAAGGTGGAGAGAAAGACAGGTAGCATTCTGAGGCTAGGAGGGAGAGAGCTTAAGACTTAGCAGGGAATGTAGGAGGATGTAAGACTTAGCAGGAGGTGCACTGCTCCTGTGCGCCATGACTTTCTGTACTCACAGAACCAGCGCTGCTTGGTGAATGCACGCCTCTGTCTGCTGAGGGGCAGTCACAGGGGCACTTGCTTCTGTAGAAGCAAACTCTCTCATTGGGCAATTACCTAAAGCACATTCTCCTCCACCGGGGTGGCCCTTCCTTGAGCAGTCCCTGGTCCAAAGGAAGAATCTTTCTTCCCCACAGCTCTGTGCTTTCAGCGTGGACCATCAACACGCACAGGTCAGACCCTGGAGTGGAATATGCCTTCACGGACCTATTCCTACTTCACTGGAGTAGCCAGCAGTACTCATTCTGGTTGCAGGGTTGTGGGGGGAAGATTGTGTGCACCCGTGTTTTCTTCTGAATACAATTTACTTAGAATACAAAACAATTCCAATAGTCTAAGCATGAAATATGAGTCTTTCATCCTGACTCTAATGCTCTAATCTCTCCAAAATAATCTGCTCATAGAGCTTATGTATACTTAGGATGTGTCTGAATGTGGATTGCACATGCACACACACACACACACACACACACAAACACACAGAACACACAAACTCCAGGAGGCTTCAAAAAAATACTCAAGAGACTTGCTCAGGGGCAAATGAATGCACTGGTGAAATGCGACCATAGACAATATTAGAAATATTTGAAAGACTAGCTAGGCTTTTTAAACACATTTTTTAAGAAAAGACAAATTAGGATCTTGAATTCCATCATGTAGTTCTGACATTGGGAAATTCAAATGCGTTTTGTCTCGAACTTGCCTGAGTTTTCTGTTTGAAGTTACAGGACTAACTTAGAGCATATTCCTTGAGATGATTCTCATTCAGCAGGCATCCTAGAAGACATGAAATAAGTTACAGTAGTGATTTCCACTCTGGATGGTTTCCTTAAGTGACCCACACTCTTCATATTGACCTCTGGGATTCTAACTGTTCACACAGGTGCAGCTGTAACCCCTTATCTCTGCTACCCCTGCAGTTCCTGCGTACTGTACAATCTCTAGATCCTGTAGCTCTACAGCAGCTGATTTGAATTTCCAATCAGAAAGACAATTTTTTTTTACAAAAGTAAAATACGACTGGAGATGCATGAGCATCCGTGTAGCACTGAATCAAAATCTGGTCATCCCCAAAGCCATGGAGACTGGTGCTACCTTTGTAGGAGATGGGCTTAAGTGCTGCATTACCAAGATGCCTGCCACTTAGTCATTCTGTATAGAATTCACCTACTAAAGGAGACCTGCAGAAACAGACAAGTGTAGCCAAAACAAACAAACAAAAACCCCTCTGGTCAACATGCACACCATCACTGCAGAGAAAAAAACATTGCATACCATACCTCAGTCAATGAATTCCAAAGTTACTAAAATACTAGTAACACTTCAGTGGTATGCAATGCCGAAACTGAATTTGCAGAAAGCACTGGACCAGCGTGTCAGGCTTAATGTCACCAAAATTGCATGAGTTAAGGCTGGCCATCATCTGTCCTCATCTTGAGAGTGGACATGGAGGACAGGGAGAAGAAAGCAGGAGAAAGAAGGCTGAAGAAGAGGATGTGGGGGCCATCAGATGGCCCTAAAGGGGAGGCTAAATCACCAGCCTGGATATCTGTCGCCACCACACAGACTTCACTGCGACAGTGAGATACACATGGTGAGTGCTAAGAAAGGCCTCACATCTGAGAGTGGGGCCTACAGGAAGAGCGCAGGACCCCCACACTGGGACACAGGCGGACATAAAATCCATGCAGAATCAGAGTCCTGTGCTTTCTTCCCAGCTGTGCAGGTGGGGGTCACGCAGAAGTCAGACATGTCGCCGTCACTGTGGTCCCCTTCCAAGGTCCTCAGGAGCTGTGTGCTTGGCCGCCCCAGGACACCACTCCCTGCCATCTACTGTGTATCCAGGCCATGTGCCTCACATGTAAACATGGAGGATTCTGGTCACCAGGGCCAGGGAACAATGGCAGCTGCGGAATCCAAGAAGGAAGTCCCAGCCTGGCAGTGAACTCTTACCCTTTCTCTTTCACCTGCTGGGACCCAGGCTGAAAGCACAGACCCAGAGCAGGGTGTCAGGAAATCCCAAAACTGGGGCACTGTGCAGAATAAAGCTCTATCCTCACGGCCTCCCTAGGAGGTCTGCAGCCTACACGAGACCCAGCAAGGACAGACTGCCTGGCCGAGGAAACTGATCCCATACAACAGTGCTAAATGACTCTGATTTCACAGTGTCTCTCGCAACGTACTTACTGTAGACTCTTTTTTTTTCTTTTTTTTTTTTTTTTTTTTTTTGACAATTTTAAAAATGATTGGATGTAGTGTGAAGTCTAGGACAGGGTCACATATTGTTCCTCTCATATAGGCTTCAGATCCACTAAAAGGAAACCGGAATTCTCTGTTATCATTGTCGGCCATTTCTCCCTCTGAGCTCCTGCAATGTTTATACTACAGAAAAACTAAGGCTGTACACGGCATGGCAAGCCCCAGGGTGTATCGGAAACTCAGGCGAGTCAAGCCTCACTCGGCGAGGTCTGCGCTCAAATCCCTCATGATCAGTTTTGCTTTCCCACCACAGATATACACACGGCTTTGATTTCCCCTCCTCTCCCCTTTACACACTCACGTCTGTGCACAGATACACACATGCCTGGACTTTTTACCTCCTCTCTTGGGCAAATTCATGCATGCATAAACATGATTTTTATTTTTATTATCCTCTACAAAGGTGTGCACACACGTGTGCCCACACACACACACTGATGTCTGAACAGTGGCTGACCTCACCAAATGTGGAAAGGCCATGAGCCCAAAGTCCCCAAAGTTCATCTCAGAATCTATGGCTTTGCAATATCTAAGGACTCCCAGGGCTTCCTGCTCTCTGGTGCTGCCTAGTTAGTTGCAAACAAAACAGAAACCATAGCTGCATGTGAACCAAGATCCAGACAGAAAGAAGTCACTGATCCTGCAGCCCCTCCCTGCCTGAGCTTCCTTCCCTGGAATCCTCGCCCTGTGCTCAGTCTCCCCAGCAGGAAGCACGCTCGGAACATGCCACAAGCTCTCCATGATGGGACTCTGCAAAGAACCCTCTCTCTTTGTCTCTCTCCCTCTGTATGTCTCTGTCTCTGTCTCTCTCTGTCTCTCCCCTTCTTTCACCCCCCACTCTTTTTTCTTAACATGAATTCAATTCAACTGTCACTTAAAAATAGGCCTGGTTGTCACATTCTCTTTGCCAGTTGGAGTGAATGTCACCAAGTGTCACAGAGCCCTTAGCTGCAGCGTGCGGATTGATGGCAGAGAGAAACTGGGTCGACACGGGGCAGGAATGAGATGGGAACTTTTGCGATGCCTCTCCTGGTGTCACCCAGACTCTGCCAACAGAGAAAGCATTGATTTTTCTCTGCCATTGTCTTCTTTTTCATCAATTTTTTCCCACAACTATTTAAAATCACCATCTGTTCTCTTCTTGGAAATTTAAGTTAACTTCAGCACAATCTTTTGGTTTTCACCCCCCAATTGTAGATAAGCCATATGTGGGAAGTTTGGGTTAAATGCCAGGTATTTAAAATTAGGTAAGAGGAATTATGCAAATAAATCAACAGTCTCTCAGAGGCCATTCATCTGTTGCTACATATTCATCCAGCAAGTGTTTATTGAGTGCCAGCTGTTTGCAAGGCATTATGCTAAATTCTGGGGTTACGAAGAGAAATGGGGCTAGATGGTCCCTGAAAGCAAGAAGTTGAAGATGAAGCAGGGTACAGACAGATCCCTGAGGCACTCCGTCCCTGGAGTTCTGCTTTCTGTTCCTGCACTCTGGCTCCGGCTGCCGCTTTTCCACCACGTTGCAACCCCTCTGTCTCCCTAGAAAACCCCTACTTCTAAATAAAAAGAAACTCGTTGTCTGATTTTCCCAGCGAATGGCTACCTCTTCCCTTTACCTTCTTGGCCAGTGGCCTGTTACAAACAGAAAACTCACACTCGTTCAACCACATTACAGACTCTTGGTGGGAAGAGATGCCTTCATATTTAGAGTCCTCACAGTTGCATGCCTAAGAGTCACTTCTTTTATCTTTTTAGCATCTTGTATGACTTGATATTTTTAACTGACACAAAGTTAGAAGTAGACAGGAGGAATAAGCCCTGGGATCTTGTTCCACAGAAAAACAGCTACAGTGAACGATAAGATAGTGCCTATTCCAGAGTAAGTTTTTCATAACTGTTCAGTGAGTGACTACTCCAACCCATTTAGAAACTTAGCAAGAGCTTGCATGATAGCAGGTGCTATGCCGGGCAAGAATAGTATGTGTACGCCCAAGTCAGGGAGAGAGGAGGCTGTGTGAGGCAGAACAGAAACCTTTAACCTCATAAAGCATGCAAGCTTCCAAGAGATAAGAGTCATAGAGATTTCTCAAGCATCTATTTTTATGCCCTGGAAAAAATCTTTTGAAAAATAGCTTCAGATAGTTATAAAAGGAAATGTCTGTGTCTCATTTTGAGATTCATTTCAATATTTCCTTCTCTGATTTCTCTTGGTGTATTTTGCTCCACTATGAAAATAATATTTGACACAGAAATTCACTCTTGTGTCTTTGACCCCATCTATGGCTCTTTTTAATGAAAACTGGACATTGTTTTTGTTATTGGATTAAGGATTTTTCTCCAGTAAAGTCTAGTTCTACTCCATTAACCACTCCTCTACCTAAAGATCACTGATACCAAGAGCCCAGAACACTGGCTCTCCAAAGACTTTCTCCATTGCTGGCCCTCAACAGTTACACGAAGACCAGCCCGATGAGCTTCCTAAACCCCAGCTCCAGACATCTGTGACTGTGTGTCCATTCTAAAGTAGAGTTCAAGTTACATAGAATAGCACCTAAACCAGATGTGGGAAAGAAAGCTTTCCTAATGACATCCAAGCTTTTCTGGAGAAGACTTGGTTATGTACACATAGAAGACAGGGACTTTTTTTCCTGACTAGAGAATTTTAACAAGGGGCACAACTATGCCAGACTTGGAGGCATGAGACAGGTAAAGTGTGAGGAAAATCATAAAGTCACTTACGGCTTAGTAGCTGCATTTACAAATGCACTTTAGAACCTATATTGGAAGTCGGAGGAGCTTATTCCTGGGGTTCCTGGGGATTTCCAACATGAGTAACTATTTTTTTTAATTCTTTATGTCTTACCTCCAACCCAAGCCCCTTATCCCTTTCTCTTTCTTGTCCCTAGGACAGACTCTCTTTCTGCTGCACAGCTATAGCTGTTGTTCTGAGATAAAGATGAGAACAAATCCCATTCTTCACCCTTATTGGGGACACAGAACATAAAGGACAGAGGCCAATAATAATACATTTGCAAAAGTCCAGTGTTAACCATCCCAGGACCTAGGCTATGACCAATGCCTTTGCTCCACTCCTATCCAAAATAGCCCTCTGCAGGTCTCGCCTTCAAACATTAGATAACATTGGTACTCAGCAAGGATAATGTTTTCTGGGGAATCTGAGTGGCACAGGATCTCTCTCCAGACAACCAGGTCCTTGGCCCTTTACAGTGTGTCCAAAAAAATTAATCAGGACTCAGTGACATGTGCAAAAGCATCAAGGACTGGGTCTCATGGAGTCTTCTGAGTACAAGATGTCAGGAATTTCTTCTTATATAATCATACAGCACAATAAGAGAGGTCAAAACGTTGCTAGTGTAAATAACATGCAATAGTAGTACCTAAGACAATGTGTGTCCAGGGTGGATTTGGAAAATACAAATTTCTAGAAAGTGGATGCTTTGAGGGATGTTGGAAGGAATATTTCAATAGAAAAGTAAGCTGAACTATAAATATCAAAAATGTCAGACATCTTTCAGTGAGGAAAGCCCTTGGGGAAATAGACAGTGCCTGAGAGACCGGCGAAGAAGACAGAGATGTGAAAGGAGCTAAGGACCCAGAATGAGAGTGACCTCAGAAAAGCCTCTTAGATGTGGAAAACAAGACCCTGATGTCTAGCCACCCCACAAACTTACCATGGCTGTGGATTGCCCAGCAGAGATACACATCGAAGTTCTCCACTATTTGAGTGTTTGAAAGATCTGAAACATTGATGTTCTCCATTGTTGCATTAGAGAAACAACTGTAAGAAATAAAACAAAAAGGAGTAATGCTCAGCACATCGACTGAGTTAATGCTTGCAGGGCTTCAACATTACCGCTCTCACAAGCAAATGACTCATGGAAGGGAAGCACAGTTCTTATTTTGTAGACATAATTTAGCTACAGGCATAATCCAGTTCCCAATCAAATGTTCTGCTATAGTATTGTAGTCTATTTACAACACAGTAACAAATTTGATGCTCACCTGACTTTCAAAATGAGTTGTCTAGCTCCTTTTAAAAGAGATCCTCCAAAACCATGCTATTATACCACGCTATTATTACTATTTTCTTAATTATAAAAATACTTACCGAGGATTATAAAATGTGCCCCTAGATTTAAATGTAATTTTGCTTTTTTCTTGTAAATCTTGCTAATTTCCACTTAATCTCAGTAAAATCCCAGAACTGATGATTAGCATGTGCCTTCCAGTCCAAGATTCAAATGCTGTGATTCTTTAGTTGCTTCGGTTTTCTCTCTTTGTTCTTATCCCATTGTTTGCCTTGTCCTCAAATTTTGCAAACATCTCCAGAGACCTTCGCAGTTCTTCCTTTGTGCTTTATGGAGGCCACTGAAGAAAGAAGCACTTCTCCCTCTAGGCACCACATGAATGGATAGATAGGAGGTATCCTTCTCATCCAACTCTCAGGGATGAGTGCAATCATAATGTACTACAAACATGTACTGAATAAGTAAGTTTGTACTGTCATTGATTAATTGTTCGCATTTTATGCTTTGATTTTGTAACTTGAACAACTACTTCTAAGATAACAATATGTAATTTATCACTAGTGATTTCTTACCTTTTTTTGAAATTTTGTATTATTTCTAACCTTTTTCTGTTCTGCTTTTTTTCTCTAAATAAAAAAAAATTTAATGCTGGGTATTTACTTTATATATGTATATATATACACACACACATATTTTCCCCCTTACTTTAATTTTCTTTAAAGATTTTATTCTTTTGGTTAGCATAAATCCAACACATGACCTCAGAATTTTAAAATTCATGTGAATATCTTGATGTATTTGGGGACTTTTTTATGGGTTTTGACAAGTTAGTTCTGTGTTTCTCAAGTAGAGGAGGTCTCTATGTCTCTTTAAGAGGAAGCATACAGAGACAGGTGACAGACAGAGACAGATAGATAGACACAGAGACAGATTAGGTGTGGTGGCAAATACCCATAATGCCACTACTCTGGGAGACTGAGGCAGGAGGACCCTAGTCTGAGCTTAATCTTGATAATTTAGTGAATGAATCCCTGTCTCAAAAAAGACAGAGAATCAAAAAAAAAAAAAAAAAAAAGAAAGAAAGAAAAGAAAAAACAACAATGGGGACATAGTTCAATGCAAAAGCCTCGAGTTAAACCTCTAGTACTAAAAAAAAAAACTGTTTGGAGCTCAGGTTTTGGAGGCAAAGTGGGTTTCAAATCCATGTTCTTTGCTTCAATGATAAGAGACAAATTAAATATTCCCTTTGTCTTGGTTTCTCTGCCTATAAATTGATGACAATAGTAAAAATAGTAACTGCTCTATTTTCTTATCTTTGCATCGTATTTTTCTTTGTGACTTTATATTTCTGTCACTTCAAAATAATACAAAATTTATACATTTGAAAGTTTTATCCTCTCTCCCAATAAAGTTAATTCCTAGTAAAAATACTATCACCATTTCATCTTTAATCCCTATGCCTTGAGCTAAACACTCCAATGATGTTATCAATAAATAGTGAGATGATTTAATTCATGTTTTCCCTGTCTTCAAGTGAAAGTAATTAAAAATTAGCTTCGATGCTGGCTCTGCTTGAATCTGGATTAGAACAGATTCATAAAGCAAGTGGATGTGTCTCCACAAAACTGTGAATTTATAAAAGCTGGAAAAATACACTCTTTGACATATTTTTGACACAAATATGAAAATGAATGCTAAAATTATTTGATTGTTCCCTTTCTTGGTGTTCACAAATAGGTATATGTTAATATTTTCTTTGCCTTGAGGAATTAAACTAAATTCAGAATGTTCTAAAAAAGACTAGTCATTTTTATAACAAAAACGGAATCCAATTCCCATGCCATGGGAGGTTCATTACAAAGCTCTCCTCAGGCCTCATGGATAACTTACAAATTACCTTAACAGCTTCAGAGACTTGTGTGGAATTTTAAAGAGTGGACATGAGGACTTCATTGTGTCACTCATTAGAAACTCCAGTAAGTCAAGAATCAAAAATGCTGCCATCTTGGTTTTAAGTAAGCAGTGGGCAGAAAGAATTTTAACTGGGGAGAGGCAGGAAATACTCATCCATCTTAAAAGTCACGGTGTAATCTACACTCCCTCAAACTCATGTGTTGAAATCTTAATGTCCAGTGTGATGGGAGGAGACGAGGTCTCTGGGAAATTGATCACAGAAGTGGAAACTCCACAAACCCAAATAGCGTCCTCACCAAGGAGCTCCAAGAGAAATCCTGGCTCTTTCTACAACTGAAGGCTGTGACAAGAAAGCACCACCCACAAACCAAGAAGTGCATTCTCACTGAATGCTTTGATGTTGGGTTACCAGAGCTGTGAGAAGTTTTTCTTATTTAACCACAATGGTACTTTGTGATATCAGTTGAACAAAATCTCTTTCTGGACCCTTTACTGCCATAGATTGGGAATTTTTAAAACTCGGATGGGTTTCACCTTTTCAAAGACTCATGAGCACCCTTCCCTATTTCTTGCCTTCTTTAACAAAGTCCAGAATATACTTCTTTTAAAAAAGTTTCTAAATCTCAAGATAGTTATTCTTTGGGAATGCTGTTCTCTCTTTACCTATTTAGAAGTGGAACAGAGATTAAAACTTAAGACAAATTTGAAGCAAGACTAAACTGAAAAAGGAAAGAAGGAAAGAAGGAAAGAAAGAAAGAAAGAAAGAAAGAAAGAAAGAAAGAAAGAAAGAAGAAAGGAAGAAGAAAGAAAGAAAAGAAAGATGGAAGGAAGAAAGAAAGAAAGATGGAAGGACGGGAGGAAGGAAAGAAGGATGAGGGAAATCCAGTCAGAAATTTAGGTGCATCCATTTGCCTTTGATCTGTTTTCTATCACCAAACCAATTCACAATCTTTTACCTGCCTGTGCGGCGCTGGGAGCAGCTGAAAAGAGTCAGTTTTCCATGCTCTCTCTGGATGCTGCCTGGGCACTGACATTTGCAATTCAGTATGGCTCCTTGGTCCCCAACTGGTCTTGGAAGACCAGAGCCTCCCGGAAGCCAAGAACACCTTCTGCCCTCTGATTCTGGCACAGTGGTGGCCGCTTCGCTCAGATGTGTGCCTCCCGGCAGTCGCTCCTGCCTCGGGGCCCGCAGACTGGCTGGCTGCAACATGCTGTACCTGAGGCCACACCTGAGACCATCTGGCCTTTCATCTGCCGCACCATCCAGGGCCCACCTGCCGACAGGCGAGGACCAGATGGAGCACACGCTACCTGTGTGAGACCGTCTGACTCGACGCTGCTGGAGCCTCGGTGTGCGGAAAATGGCAGACTATAAACATTTAAATAATAACACCACAACACATGCTGATTCTCTTCCACCGAAAGGTAAAAGGAAAGAAAACTCTCTGGGAAGGATATACTACTGCGGAGCAGAAATCAACTCTTGTATTCTCTTTAGCAAAACTTAGGTGAATGATGAAAAACAATCACGGATCCAAAATCAGTCCTCGGAGCTAACACAGAGCATTAGAAGACACATAGAGAACAAAGTGAACTGCTGAAGTGCAAGAGGTTGCTGTGTTGATCCGCAAAAGCTGGGTATCAGCAGGCCTGGAGCTAGGCAGCTGTGGGCTAGGTGAAAAGCGAAAAAGGTGTGATATTTCACTTTCTTTCATTTCCTCAATCATGAGCTACAGATAGTGGGTCTATGGCCTCAGACCTCAGACCTAGAAAACTCAATACCTTCTGAGGTGCGGATAAGGTCCAGGGCTGTATGGAGTTGAGCTGAGGAGTGAGGAGCTGGAACCTCCTCAAGGTCTGAAAATAAACTAAACAAGAATGTTGTACCTAGGGAATAAGCAGGAGACTTCTTGCCTCTGAAATTAGTCAAGGCGGCCATTTTTCTTCTAGAACAATGACATCAAGTGAAGGAAAATGCATCATCTGGACCAGCCGCCATCTTGAAACTTGCCCTCCTCAATGCTTGAAGTATGTGTTCTCTGTCTCTCTGTGACTGTCTCTGTGACTGTCTGAGTGTGGCTCTCTCTCTCTGAAAAAGTTATCATTTTGCAATAAACTCTGTCTATACTCTATACTATTGCCTACAGATAGTTCACCAAATACCCAAAAAGCCAAGAAATGAGCATTATTGGCTCTTCACGGTGTGAGAACCTAACTTCCTGGTGACTTTATGCAAGCAGCTGTACCTTTGCTGTACCTCAGTCTCCCCTACTAGTAATATAAAAAGCGTGGAAGGGGTAATTGAAGATGTTTAGTTATAGAGTTAGTTATATAGCCTGAATGTAAATCAGCACACAGTACATCATCATGAAAATGTCCTTATAAAGAAAACCTTCAAGTTGTGCTTAAGGGTATGGCTATTTCATAATCTGACGCAAAACTCCTACCTCGTAGTGGATAGGGAAGAGGTCATTCAAAGTTCAGGAAATTTCATGACCTTATACCAGGCAGTGGACACTTGGGATAGCACTGGACTAGGTGACTTTTTTAAGCCTTCATATCATGCAACCGTCAGTCATTCAAGAGTAAGTGCAGTCCCAGCTGGTCAAAGGCCAACTTCATGTGGGGAAGGACATAATACAAGCCAAGTGCACACACAGTTCTTTCCTGGTGAGGTTTAAAGTGCAAGATTGGCAGATGAGCAAGGAGGAAGTCTCGAGGTCACAGAAAATCTTGATTTCCAGATAGAGGAGTTGAGACATCTTCTATGGGTAATGAGGAACAGTATAAGGGCTGTCGAATGGTAAGGTGATATTATCCATATTTTAGATGAGCCTCAGTGATGGCTTCATGAAGAATGGGTTAGGAATGGAAACCTTGCAATGCACGATGACCAGATCCACCTAGGAGGTAGCCACATGTGATACCACTGGGTTGAGGGGCAGCACGCAAATCCTTGAAGAAGAAAGCAAAGCATGATCGAAATGTGGTATCAAGTCCACAAGTTTCTTCTTACTGGAGTCTTCATTGTTTTTAGAACTTGTCCTCTAACCCACTACCACTCTCTGTCACTGTATCTTTGACTTTAAAATTGCTGAACTTACTACACACAGAGATGATTCTATCAAAACAGTGCTGTCTCAGTTCCTTAACTTATGGTCATCTATCTTCCATGGAACCGGGTCACTAACCTATAAGGTTATGCCTAAGATTGTGCAATTAAATGAACACAACAATGGAGTACTACTCAGCTACAAAGAAGCATATGCTTCAGACATTTCTAGATAGGAGATTCACTATGAGACCATACTCTTAGGGTGAAATAAATACTCTTAGGGTGAAATATCATAAATATAGCACTGCTTCCCTGGTGTGAGAAGCCATGCCAGAGGAAATGTAAATAAGGATCAGAATGTACGATAGATATTGTGAAACTGGAAGAAAATGCTCAAATGGGAAGGGGAAGTAGTCAGGGCCAGGGAGAAAAGAAGGAAGATAAAAAAAATAACAAGAAAAGAAGGAAAAAGTGAGACAAAACTATAAATAAGGAGGGGAAGAGGGGTTGAAGTGAGAGGAACGGAATGGAAAAAAAGAAGCAAGTTATACCAGGTATGGGTACAAATTCCCTCTGATGAAGGCGGTCATTATGTGTATCTACAATGTACTAATATATTCAATTAATTAAAAACAATTAAACAGACCTCTCTCCTATTCACACTGAGAAGGTCGAGTCTTGGACCGTTGCCCGCAGTCTTGCTAGATCACATTTTCTAGTGCTGTGACACAGTCTTGCTCCCTCACGCTTTCAACCACCCACAGGCCCTCTTATCTTTCCGCTCCTCCCTCTTCCCCTGGAAGCCCAGCTTCCTTTCTTGCCCACCTTGAGCCCTGTGACCAATCACAGGAGCTCCCAAGCCTGCATCCCCACTCCTCCCCTCACCACCCCATCCTCACCTGACAGCCACAGCCTGGGTAAATCTAGCTCTCCACCCTATCTGAGCCCCACCTGAATCACTGCAGCCATGCTGACTGCTCTCCCTGTCTTACTAAGCATTTCAGCTGGATCGTGGTTCCTGGCTGGCCTTGCAAATAATGCTCCTCCTCTATTCACTCTTAGGTTTCATTAGATTACTATTCCGTGTGCTCTCCTTCCTTCTCTGCCCCATCCTTATTGTCAGCTAGTGATCCTGCTTGACATTTTACTGGCACAACTGCAACCAAAGGTAAGAAATGGGCTTCCGGTACCAACTCTGCCAACCATCCCAGGGCTGCAGGCTTATCTTCTGACCACCTTCATCACTATGGGGGAATTATTCCCATGTTAGTGCAGGGCACCCTCACACATACGCGTTACTTTTCTCACCTATTCAAGAGAATTGCTCGGGTAATTCTTCATTCCCTGTCTTCCAGTTATGCTTTCTCACCATACTGAGCCCTTACCATGGATACACATACACTATGACTTTCCCACACTGCAAATGAACCAAAAAAAGTTTCTCCCTTTGTACAACAATAGGCAATGAAAACCTTTTCCTTCCATTTTCTGTCTCCACTGCTCCACCTCCAATCTTGTTTTCCATATACTCAAATTAACATTTGGTTTTACCTCTCCACTGAAACTTCTCTTATAAAAGACACCAATGGCTTATGCATCTTGACTTTGACCCAACAAGGATATGGAGCATAAATTGAACATGACTTCTGCCTGTCTGAGATTTTATTTGGATTCAGGACCCCATACTCTGATGGTTTCCCTTCCACATGACTGGCTGCTCCATCAGTATCACTGTGCATCTCACCCCTGCCTGTCTCACTGATGGTCTAGGGTGTGCAGCGTCAGATCTCTCTGTCTACGCACTGGTCCCAGTGATATCGACACAGAGGGCTTTAAACGCAGTGAAAAGTAAGGCTACTTTCAGATTTACATCACCAGCTGAAGATCTCATCTGAATTCCTGACTCATTCGTTTGACACCTGTTCAGTGGCTCCTGTTCCCCCTCTGATTTTATTAAATGTAACCTCAAATTCCTGTTCTTCCATGCAAATCCTGTTCCACCTACAGTATTCCCTCATTTTAACTTCCAGCAACTCAATTCCTTTACTTTTCAGGCCAAACATTTAGAAGTTACCTCAACTCCTTGATTCCTTTCAGAATATATGCTTTCATTCTGTCAGAAAATCCTGCCTTTCCAACTGCAGACAAATCCAGCAAAGCCCTTCCATCAATCACCAATGCCCTGACTCAGGGAAGCTTCCTCTCCTGCCTGGACTCTTCCAAGGGCTTCAGAACTCTAATCTTTCACACAGTGGAACACAGGCTTCAGGACCTCGCAGGGAGGCCCATTGCAAGTGAACTCATGTGTGAAACCAGAATACTCAGGGACTGATAATTTAGGTAAGTAGGAACAAATGCAGTCTTTCTTACAGCCATCTGAGAGAGACAGAGACAGGGACAGAGATAGAGACAGAAAAGAATATCTCATCTTCAGTGGATAAACAATGTTTCCTGTGAAATACATCCTCTTGAGATCTAAATCATGGACTTCACATGGCTTTGAAATTATGTTTCTCTCACTATGAGGGAGAATTCAAATAATGGGTTAATGTTTTAGCACAAAAAATGTAGCCCAGAACAGTGATAGGTTTGATAGAAACAAAGAGAAAACAACCTACCAATCCTCAACTCGTGGGTTTCCCAAAGAAAGAGAAAAGATGAGTTTACAAACAAAATAATAACAGTGAGGAATTCCCACGTGCAGCGAATGCGTGGCCCTGGAGAGCAGTGTGGTAACTGAAACAAGCCCAACACGATGTATGGGGTGTTCGCTCCCGTACACGGAAATTTAACAGTAAATACAAACCTTAAATGTAGACTTCCTGATTACTTGAGTTTGGGAAGAGGGAGTTGGATAACGGGCGGCTGGAACTGATGGGGCTAAGTGTATGCATGTGTTGAAATACTGTACTGAACTGCTCTAGTAGGTACCTTTTAATATATCTTAATCAAAATTTAAAATACATGCTAAGGAAGCATTCTCATGACAGCCAACACACAGAGGAGACACAAGTGTCTCAGGAGTTAGAAATCATACAGTGTGAATTTAAAGAAAATCATAAACTGAGTGTGTTTAAACGGTTAAAAATAGAAAGATGCTGAAGCCTTCGTAAACAAGTTCTAGCCCTGCCTGGAAAACTTAGTAATTGAGTGAGACCCTGTCTCACAATGAAAACTAAAAAGGACAGGGAAGGTGGCTCGGTGGGAAAATCTTAGGCTTAATTCCCAGGACTGAGGGAAGAAAAAGAATGAAATAAAATATTTTTAAAAAATTGTACTGAAAATCTTGTGGAATTTTCTTATAGATCTCCACGCATAATAGGTTGTTTGGCTTCTGACTTTCTCAATTTTCCCCAAAGAATTTTCCAAAGGGTGAGATAATTTTTGTGAACACAGTCATTTAAGTTGCTTTTTTATTTCTGCATAGGAGATTGAACCCAAGACTCCCACTGAACTACATCCACAGCCTCTTCATTTTGTATGTTAAAATAGAGTCTTATTAAGTCACTAAATTGCCTATTCCTGGCTCAAAATCCTCCTGTCTCAGCCTTCTAGAGTGTGAAATTATCACTACACAGGGTTTAGGTTAAACTTCAAGTTTCATGACTTGTAGCGGTTCATACACTGTGTCAATTTGAGAGGTTCAGAAGCTAAACTGAGTGACTCAGCAGTTCTACCTCCTAGGATACAGAGGACCTGCCCTAGGGTGGCTGTTTACCCTCCAGGATGTTGTAATTGTTGATTTACTATGTCAACTTGAGAAGTTTAACTAAGCAAATCTGCATAGGACCAGGGTGTTATTGTTGATACACTGTCAACTTGAGAAGTTTAGAAATTAAACTGATAAATTCAGCAGGGAGCCAGGGTTCTTATGCTGTCAGTATCCCCATCCTGTGCGAGAGGAGGGCACAGAGATTTTGTGAATGCTATACCCATCCTGGAGTGGGGGTGGGGGTGGCCTATATAAACATAAGGGAGGAGTGGCTTGCTTTTGCCCTTTTGCTCTGGCTGCTGTGTTGAAGTGTTGCCCAAAGCCATGCCACTCTGCCTTGCAGGCAGCTGATTATGGACTGAAACCTCCAAATACTGTAAGCTAAATAAACCTTTCCCTCGCTAACTTGGGGTGTTGGGTATTTTATCCCAGCAATGAGAGAAAATAACCAAGACACAGGGTCCTCACTTTGTGAACATCATCTGTCTGTGCAAGAGGGCAGGGAGATGGTGTAAGTGCTACACCCACCCCAGGACAAGTAGCCTGCGTATATTATAAGGGAGGAAAGGAGGCTTGCTCTTTCCCTACCTTTGCTCTTATTGCTTTTGCTGTCTTCCACACCGTGAATGGTTGCCTCATAGTCATGCCTTGGAGCGCTAATTGCGGGCTGAAACCTCCACAAACATTAACCTTTCTTTCTTTAACTTTGGGTGTCAGATACTTTGCCCTAGCAACAATAGAAAATAACACAAGGGCACAAACATTTTTGATGGTTTCCACTCATATAGGACTCTGCCAGACTTACCCTGGTGCCTGCCCAACATGGCACTGGACCCTCCAATACTGATTTCCATGTTCTTCTTCCAAGTTCAAATTGAACTTCCTACTTTTTGCCCGTGCATCAGCATCTCTCCAACCAGCTCTCAGTACATCATTTTCCCCGCCCCTTCAAACCCCACCCCCTGTCAAAACTAATAAAATCCGCCACTTCTTTGCCTAGAGCAATCCTACACTCTTCTTGCAGTCCTCCCGTGCGGCAATGAAGGCTTTTTCCCTCTTTTGCCTTTGTTTCTCTACTGCACCAAAAAACCTAACAATTTTATTTTGTACATCAAAAGCCCCAGGGCAGCTCCTCCAAGTCATCCCAGAAACTGATCATACATTGGTGCTTTGTTTATCAACAAGAGCTTTAGTCTCTTACTAAGAAAATGAATTTCTTCCAAAACCCTTGCTTCTTTTTATCAAGTACAAATATGTTTCTATTCGAAGCAGTTACCCCCAAATGGTTGATTTATGCAACCTCACAAATCATGAATTTCCAGTCAGATAAATCACTTTGCATTTGGTGTCAACAAAGATAAAAGATTTTTTAAAGGTGCTGACTAAGCACTTTGTGGAATTTGCTAAAATAGTTAACATTTTAAAATATATTCTGATGTGTTTCATTTCCCCAAGAGCAACAGTATGGTAATAAGTGTTTAACAGTTCGGATCCGTGCCTTTGCATGGCAGGGTCTACAGTTCTGCTCTTCTCTTTTTTCTTTCTCAAATCAGTAATCAGTACTTTTTGAGGTTCATGTGTACAGTATGTAATTTGATTTTCTTCCCTGGTGGGTTATTACATAGACTAAGTGATTTAAAAACACATACATTTAGTATCCAGAAAAGCGTAATGCAGTATATGTTTTTTTGCTGTCTTCAACAACAAGCCCTGTGTATTTTTCAAGGTAGCAAGCATTAAGGGAAACACTTTATTTGGTGTTCCATTGTCAGTTATGGACCAGGATCAAGTGGTCTCTCTTTCACTGGGGGCTTTAATCTTCCAATAGAAGAGTTTCTCCCTACCCTGAAACCCCAGATAAACTTGTGATAAAATATATTATATTCCCTGCCTGTAACACAAGCTTATTCTTGCTTCCTCAGCTGATGGGTTCTATAGAAAAGTTACTTTTTTCTCTTTTCAGTGGGAATGTGGTTGTAAATGCAGAAGCTAGAATCTTAATCAAAACCACTTGTTGGGTTGATACTTGGCTTTGTTGGTGAGCATTGTTTGTGCCCCTTCTGGATTGT